AGATCTATTGACTCATTAGAAGGTAGTGAAGATCTATTGACTCATTAGAAGGTCATGAAGATCGATTGACTCATTAGAAGGTTGTGAAGATCTATTGACTCATTAGAAGGTTGTGAAGATCTATTGACTCATTAGAAGGTCGTGAAGATCTATTGACTCATTAGAAGGTCATGAAGATTGACTCATTGAAGGTCATGAAGAATCGATTGACTCATTAGAAGGTCATGAAGATCTATTGACTCATTAGAAGGTCATGAAGATCTATTGACTCATTAGAAGGTCATGAAGATCTAATGACTCATTAGAAGGTCATGAAGATTTAATGACTCATTAGAAGGTCATGAAGATCTAATGACTCATTAGAAGGTCGTGAAAATTTAACTACTCCCTTGAAGGTCATGTCATGTGAACCCTGATCAAGCCAAATGCCTACACAGACTTTCCAGAAATGACATAAATGTCTATCAGCAATGTGATGGTCCATGCCTTTTGTTTTTATGCTCAGAACTGATTTTATCACGGTTAGAGTGTTCGCTTGTCACACCCAAAAGCTGGGTTCGAATACCATTTCTGGTGCCATGCAAGTGCAGGAATATTGCTAAAAACAGCATAAAGCCAGACTCACACCCTTATTTCCGGGAGACAAAAGTCAAATATGCTTTAAGTTTTGTGTGGTATTGTTTAAAAAAAGAATATGGTATAGTTAGTTCAAAGGACATGAGAACAGCATATTGGTATTTCAGATTTTCAAAGAGCAAATAATAGTATAATTTCAACTGTGTAAATGTGAAGCCCATTTCTGGTGTCACCCGCCGTGATACTCTGGGATATTGCTAAAAGCGGTGAAAAGTTATTCACTCACTCAATTGTGTAAAACATTTAAACTTGCTTGAGATCGCTTTCCATTTAGCTTATACAGTATTCTCTTTACCAATATGTTCTTCAACATTAATTATATCTATTAAGACCATTAGAAAGGATTCTAAAGAAATACTGTTTTCTTTGTTACTTAATATGTAAATGTATCTCTCCACTGCTAAAATAATACGATTGATAATACAATATTTGTCATCAAAACCAAAGGGCACTTGTGTGTCAAAGCTAAATTAACAGTAAGGTTTTTTTTAGAAATAACTCAACATCTGACCGGTCAATTTTCTTACATCACAAGTACATAATACATACCACTATAGAATTACAAAACACAGGTGTTGCTATCAACCATTTTCATCATGTGTATCACCCTCTTTGTAAATATAACAGTTAGCTGATATCATCTGGAAGTCTAGTAACTTATCTCCAGTGAATGTTCTACACTGTGTAAATATTTCTTTCCATGAAGTGTTACATTGATTATTTATGACTAACATATGGCAATTTTCCTGTCCTCTTAAATCAACACAAGGAAATATACTTGGTTGGTGGACCTGTAATTTTATATGTAAATTATCAACGCTAAAGAGTAACCATCTCGATTATCAGACCAAAGAGTTTCCACTTGGCATACAAGGCCATACAACAGTGAAGGTTGTATTAATGGATACCGGAAAGTCATTGATTACATATGTGTACATGACAAAGGTGAGCATGTCTTTTCATAATGGTCAGTACGCATCACACACACAGTTTGCATAAACCATGGCAGAGACAAAAATGCCCTAATGCTTTTTCTGGACTCTATTTCCCAGCAGGCTGACAGTCAGTGGTTACAAGTTCCTGATAGTCAGCCTTTAATTCTATATATGTACACAAGTGATTATTACAGCCCTGAAGGTATCACAACAAGCAGTGTGTGAAATAACCACTGGCCCATTATTCCATGGCTAGTAAAAATCCAGTCGGGCCAGTAAATCTCCACAGTCACTGGCCTGACTGGCTAGTGAATTTTCATGGGGTCATTTTGTAAATATATCACGCTCTCCGACTTGTTAAGTTATAACACACTGCTAAATCATGCAAGATTATGGCCTGATAAAAATGTTCATCATATTAGCAGCTTAGTGATGAAACACATGTCGTGCCGACAAAATCTTATTCTCATCTATATTTGTTATATTTTGCTTAGTTTCTACATTCAAGTTTCGGGCTAGTGAAGTATTTTGTGGGCTAGTAACGGTCATTCATTGCTTGCCCGACTTGATAGCAACATTTGGAAATGATTTCGCACGCTGACTACAAGAGTATTGCACCAACAAGTGCTGATCATTAGAGGCTATTTTTGGAATCGGGTGGGCTGGTTTGGTGACTTTGTCCCCTACAGGATGGATGGATGGATCGATCCTCTGAATATCGATGACTTTGTTGTCTGGTCCACACGTACAGGCTGCTGTCTGGTCCACACGTACAGGCTGCTGTCTTGTCCACACATTCAGGCTGCTGTCTGGTCCACACATACAGGCTGTTGTCTGGTCCACATGTACAGTCTGCTGCCTGGTCCACACCTACAGGCTGTTGTCTGGTCCACACGTACAGGCTGCTGTCTGGTCCACACGTACAGGCTGCTGTCTGGTCCACATCTGGTCCTGGTCCTGGTCCACACCTACAGGCTGCTGTCTGGTCCACACATACAGGCTGTCTGTCCACACTACAGGTGCTGTCACACGTACAGGCTGCTGTCTGGTCCACACGTACAGGCTGCTGTCTGGTCCACACGTACAGGCTGCTGTCTTGTCCACACATTCAGGCTGCTGTCTGGTCCACACATACAGGCTGCTGTCTGGTCCACATGTACAGGCTGCTGTCTGGTCCACACATTCAGGCTGCTGTCGCATAGCTGGAGTGTCGCTGGGTGTGGCATTAATTAACAAACATGTACATGCAGAAATTATTACAGCAATCCTTGAGTTCCTACTACAATAGGATTACTTCAGCCATCTGATCTCATAAGTGTGGAGTGCTCTCTGTGACAGTATTATAGTTCCAGGGAATCTGTCGAGGGATTATATACAGCCCCTATAGTATTCTCAGTCATTGAACTGTGCCAGTGATACGGAACTGAAGTAATTGGAGGGAGCATGAAGTGTGTGTGGGATGGGTTCTCTTGCTTGTTATTGTCTGGTATAGAATTACCTGTACATGCAGTTGTTATGTCTTGCTACCTGGGTGACATGAAGATGTTGGAACATCAGTTTGTTCCTCGGGCCAGGTAGGACAGATGCTCAATGAATATTATATATTTTATTATACTGATGTCTAGGATATTGACCATTTCTGAAGAATGACTCGAGAAGGGAATTTGTTTGAAAAAGAATATTGTTGGTGTCTCGGATATTGACCATTACTGAAGAATCACTGCAAGAAAGGAATTTCTTCTGGTGTCTGTGATTGCTGTATTTAGTTCCACATGGTTTTATTCTGTTATTGGTATGCAGATTGAGTGAGTGAGTGAGTGAGTGAGTATGGTTTTATACTGTTTTAGCAATATTCCAGCAATGTCACGGCGAGGGACATCAGAAATGGGCTTCACATATCGTACCTATTTGGGGAATCGAACTCGGGTCTTTGGGATGATGAGCGAAGGCTATAACCACTAGGCTACCCCACTGCCCCGGTATGCTGACTGAATAGCCACTCAGTGCCTTGTGACAGAGTAGACACAATATATTACTGTTGGTGCCTGTTGCTATTGTATACAGTAATCAGTATTATAGTGAATGAATTCAATCATAGTGATGCATATGCATGTGCACAAGTAACATACATTGTTATCTACAAATTGTATCTACTGTGTCATGCATCAACACTTAAGAAGTGCCCATCAGACAGCAGTATTTTATGTTTCAACAGCCATCATATAGTTCAGAAAATTCTATAAATTTATTAACTTGAATATATGGTCTGTTTTCAGCCATTTTTTTTTCATAGGATTAAGAAGGTAGAATGTAAAATGTATCTTTTTGCAAATCAATTAAGAAAGTTTATTCTTGATAACAGGATACTGATATCCTCATGCAAGGAAGCACTGGGGGTGATTGGGGTAATACTGTTGGGAACACTTGATGGAAGTACTTTCGAAGACAGTGCTTCTTTGGTTATTGACTCGTCACGCCGAAGACCCGGTTCGAATCCCCACATGGGCACAATGTGTTTGATGTTGCAAATGTCTATGCAAGCTTTGTATTGCACTGTGGGTGAAAAGATATGAGAATAATACAGGAACACTTGTACTTTCATGTGTTCCCTTATTTGTTTCCATGAGTATGGTTTCAGAAAAAAATCAGTTATTTCAGAAAAGGGCAGGTCACATCTTTCTCCTAGAATTACAGGTATGCAAAGCTGCATTTGACATGAACCAGCAGAGTGTATCTTATCTTCTGCGCAGTATGGCTTAATTGAGGGAGTCGGTACTAAAATGACAAAATTGGTTCCAACAAAAATTGGTAGATAACAAATATCTACATGCTTTGTGACATTATTTAGATGAACTGTATCATTACTTGAGCTCAAATTGATGTAACATTCTCTAAGTTGTTGTTTTTACCTTGAATTGAACTTAGTGTTGTGAGGAAGTCATGGTTTACAGCCCTTATTAGTTCTGAATATGGTCCTTTCTGTACTTTAAGAATAACATCTAAGCTCAATTCTTGAAGTGGAAAAATGGGTTTTGATTGTCTGTGTAACAGTGTTTGTTATCCTGTGAGGCTAAGATGAACCTTGGTTGTATTGAAAGTGATAAGGAAGAGACATTGTTTGTCGAAAAACATCATATTCTGAAGTAATTGTAGTTTATGCTTCATATACTAAGACCAGCTCAGATTATTTTGGTTTTCAAAAGATTTAACCTATTGTTGTTGCAGTTATGGTTCATTTTAAACATTTAAGTTTACAGGTGGAATTTATAAAATGCTTTTCTGATCTATAACTGGCCAAGTCTGTATGCCACATGAAAACAAAATATTGCCTCTGATCACTTTGTGGAGCTCATCCTTGGCCATTGTTGATAAAATATTTAAGGTTAACTGAATAATTATACCCAACTAATAAATATGATTTTGTTACAGGAGTGATCATCTGAAGAGTCACATGCGAACTCATGACAGTGGCAAACCCTACCAGTGTCCGGTGTGTTCCCGAGGCTTCCAGACTGCAGCGTCTCTGACGTCCCACGTGTTGTCCCACAAGACCTTGTCATCGCAGTCAGCGAACAACAAGCAACTGGAGTGTCTTCAGTGCCAGGAAAAATTTCAAACCACCAAAGAACTGCAGGCTCACCTCATTATCCACACAGTAAAGGTTGAGAAGTGTCAGTGCCAGTTGTGTGGGGAGTGTTTCCTGGGACAGGAGGCTCTGGACAATCACCATCACGACGTCCATGAGAACCCCTTGGAGCTAAAGTGTCCAGTTTGCTTTGAGAACTTCTTCAGCACAGAACAGCTTTGTCAGCATATGGATATTCATAACTTACCCAACTCAGATGATGTGTCTTTAGTTCAGGAAAGTGGAGAAAACTCTAACCTAATTCAGCTAAGTGGAGATAACTCTTCTTTGTCTACTGGTAGAGTCAGTGTTGCAAGTGATCTATTGGTTTGTCCTTATTGTATGAGAGACGATTTTAATAACCTTGAAATGTTGGAAATTCACATGCAAAGCATGCATAGTGTGAAACCGGCTGAGATCTACACTTGTAACTACTGCAATGCCCCCTATCCAAATCTTTACAGTCTTCATGATCACATGAATGTGGTTCACAGGAACCAGCCATGTATGGACATCAAGTACCCCTGTAGTCTTTGCACAAAGCAGTTCCCAAGTATAGAAGCTCTTGCAGAGCACAAGAAGACTGCTCACTACTTCAAGGAAGGGTCGACTGCCATGGTAGACTCTATATACTGTGTTCAATGTACCCTGGCCTTCTCAGATCCAACTGCTCTTGAGGAACATCGGAACACTGTTCACAAGACTCCAGTCTCGGAGAAGGTTAAGATTGGTGGCAAAATGAAGAATAGGAGATCATGGTCCAAGCTGAACAAGGATCACAAACATTGTAGTCCCCCGAAAAGGCTTAACATGGGTGCAATAGGAAATGGGACCAGTATGTACGAGAGTGTACCAAACAGTTTAACATGTGACCAGTGTAACGCTACCTTCCATGATCTGACAAACTTCCAGGCCCACATGAAGCTCCATCTGGAATCGGTCATGACCAAGTTCACCTGCAAGCAATGCAACCAGCATTTCCAGACTGAGGATCAGCTTGAGAATCACTCCTCCATCCATTACCTGTGTATGACTACTGAGTACGGCTGCACAAGCTGCATGAAGCTTTTCTCCAAGCCTGATGAGCTTCAGAAACATCTGATGGACATCCACGCCCACCACCTCTACAGGTGTTCCCTTTGTAAGGAGATCTTTGATTCCAAGGTCAACATCCAGGTCCACTTTGCAATCAAACACAGCAATGAGTGCAAGTTGTTTAAGTGCACACAATGCGACAACATCTTCCGCTCAGAGACTGAATGGCAGGTCCATGTACGAGTGAACCACCTTCATATGTCCAAGCCATACCGGTGTCTCTTTTGCAAGGAGAGTTTCTCTAACGAGATGGAACTGCAGTGTCATCTGACAACTCATAGCAAGCCCTTCAAGTGTCCTATGTGTGACAGTTCTTTCCATATAGAGTATCTTCTAGATCAGCACATGCAGAATATCCATGGGGACAAACCAGTACATGAACATCCACATCCCGAAGCCTGAAGTTCCAGCTGTAAAAATCAAATCTGAAAAAGACCCCGAGCTTCTCTTTGAACAAGAGGTACCTGCTCCAGTTCCAAGGACCAGTCCCATGCCAGCATCCTCACCAGCAGCAATGGGATCTGCTATCTGGAAGAACACAGAGCCCATGCATATGTGTAATATATGTGACATGAAGTTCAGCCAGCAGTCCTCCTCACCATGCATAAAGCCCAGGATCATGGCCTGAAGATCACCAAAACATCGGACATTACTGACTTGCTGTCTCCACCTCGAGACAAGCTGGTGGTCCCAAACTCAGCCCTGATATCTGCTCTGACTGGAGACAGACAGATGTCCTCCTGCATCTACTGCAGCCAGACCTTCAAGAACAAATCTGAGTATGAGAAGCACATGAGGATTCATCTCAGCTCGGAGAATCTCAAGTGTAACATCTGTGATGAAGTGTTTCCATCGGGTAGCATTCTGGCAGAACACAAGCTCCAGCACTGTAAGATCCAGCAGGGAAACTCTTGTGTTGTGTGTAAGATCAGTCTGAAGAGTGAGGACCAATTCTACATCCATTCCCAGGAACATGGTTACCAAGGCTCCTTACTGCAGTGCATTGTGTGTAGGCAGACCCTTGCCTCACTGGTAGAACTCAATATGCATGGAAAACACCATTTTCAGTCAAAGCCCAGCTTCTATACATGCTGTGTCTGTCTCAAAAGCTTTGACTCTAAAGAAAACCTTGTCTCAAAGCTGAACACCAGCGGCAGGACGCATACTATGTCTGTAAGCCATGTTATCATGGAGAGACCGTTGAACATACATGTGAAAAATGCAGCCAGACTTTCCAAACAAGTGCCCAACTTGATGCTCATAAACTGACCCACAAGCAGACTTTTCAGTGCATTAAATGCCAAGAGTCTTTTGCTACAGAATATGAGATTCAGATGCATGTTGCTACTCACATGATTCAGGAGGGTAACATTCATGAGTGTAAACTGTGTGGCAAGAATTTTGAAACACCCTCCAAGCTGCAGTGTCACCTGATAGAGCATACGTACCAAGGTGATGAAATGAGGTGCAGTATTTGCTGCAACGTCTACAGCTCCATCACAGATATCCAAGCCCATGCTCTACAACATGGGGTCGGTGGACGCAAGTATGCCTGCAATCAGTGCAACCTGAAGTTCTTCTTTAGTGCCGAGCTTGAGAACCATCTCTTTTCCCACCAACAAGCCGCTTCCTCAAGCCCTCACATGAACACTTCTCCAGGACTGCGCATGTCCCCTGGGAAAGTCTCCTCAACTCATGGCTCCCCTGACTCTCAGAAAGCCTTCCTCAACACATTGTCCCACCACTTGCACAGTTCACAGAAATACATGATCCATAATGAAATGAAAGATGCTCTCGGTGCTTCTGCCTCCCTACAAAACTCATCCAAGTCTCGTCAAAGCTCCCCAACATCATCCACCACGGTGGAGTGTCCACGATGCCACCAGCACTTCGCAAGCACCACATACCTCCAGGCTCACCAGAGGAAATGTGATGGTAACAAGGAGGAGAGGATCAAGTGTTCCCTCTGCCCCAAAGTGTTCACTTCAGTCGGGACCATGCAGCAGCACTTCTTCAGCATACACTCCAACATTGACCTTGACGGCATCAAGAAGACGTACCCCTGCACCGAGTGTGACGAAGAGTTCCCTAGTCTCGGTAATCTCCAGGGACACATGAGGACACACAAGACAGGTATGTATGGCTTCAGCAGCAGCAGCAGCATCTCCTCTGTGTAACCTTGTCACCCTCCATTACATTTACCATGGGGATTCCTGGTTATGTTTGGCCCCAGCAACCTATGGTGGTTGTAATTTAATGAGATCATGTCATCAGTGTATGAAATAAGGCCCGTCCGACTGCCCGAGACGGGCTAGATTTCTGACGGACGGTCTAAATTTACAGCTAGCCAGTCCGATGGTCTGGTAAAAAATTTAGATGTTCCATACATTTAAGTAAATTCACAATATCTTGGTGTCTCGTCTGGTTAAATGCATTTCGGGCTTGTAACATTTTGAAGTTACCAGCCCTGATGTCTGGCTGGGTTTTGGCTTATTTCATACACTGATGTCATGCTTTCATATGGTGTGATTTGTTTATCTAGTCCAAACAGGATTATTAACAGACTTCTGACATATGGCTGGAATATTGCTGAGTGCAATGTTAATCAATAAACAAATGAAACTTAGCCATTTCAAATCAAGCGGCAGGTTATGACAACAATTTGTTTGGAACCTCTATGATATCCTCCACCTACTTGTTGCAGATGTGTATATAAGCCCTACAGACCAAAACACTGTCTCGTCCTACCCTTAGGTACATAAGTCTTGACTTTTGATCACTGTATGTTAGAGTTCAGGTGTGGATCCTTGTGCTATGTGAGACGGATGTAAAACTCCACTTCCTGCCTCGTCGCTTTGTCTTTACCATGCTACGTATCTCTCAGCCCCAGAAGTCCCCCTGCCCAGTTGGCCTGCATAGCAGGGAAAAAACATATGAATGTCCAGTTGGCCAAATGAGATTCTCCAGTATCCCCAAATCCCCCGATTCATCATTTTTTCTCAATACTCTGTAATTCACAGTCATTTCTATTCCCTGAAAGACACAAATAGGGACATCGTGCCACTTCAGCAATGATGCCTTATTGTTCCCCTTTTTATAGAGGATTTTCGTATTACAGTGGGTGATTCTTGTGATGCATATTGCACAGCCCCAAATGTCACAGTTACAGGGATCTATGTAGGTTTTAGTAGAGACTGATACACAGCCCATGTACCGGTAATTGCAAAAGCTTTTCTAATTCTTTAAGATATAACTTATAGCAAGTTGAATTCTGGCTTAAAAACATTACTTAAAGCAAGTTTAATACTTAGTATTTAGTTATTTAATTGCAATTTTCCAGAATCTAAGTAAAAAGAATGTTGAAAAATGTTGATTCATTTCGCCAAGTTCTTGCCTTAGTGCTTAACTGAAAATCCTTCGAACATCCCATGTTGGTGTCCACCTGCCCACTATGTTGTTACTTGACCAGTTAGTCTAACTGGCAAGTTCAAGTGTTACTAACTTACTGGAATATTGGGTTAGTTCAAGTATTATCTGCCTATTTAATAGGTTCAAGTGTTATCTGCCAAGTGAATAAGTTCATGTGTGTTAAATTGGGTGAGTTCATGTGTTACCAAGCTGTTTTCCATATTTCAACTGATACAGTACACCTGTTTCTGTTGAAAAAGATCAAATTTATTTAAGAATTTTCTAAAATGGAAGTGACAAGTCATTAAGCTGAACTTAAAAAATAATCCCTTAAACTTGTACCAATGGGGACACATGTAAATGTAGATGTTATGGATATAGATGGCCCCTTACTGTCAGAGTGAGTGAATTTAGTTTTAGGCCACTTTTAGCAATATTCAAGCAATATCACAGCAGGGAACATCAGAAATGGGCTTCACACAGAATGTACCTATGTGGGGAATCGAACCCTGGTCTTCGGCGTGATGAGCAAATGCTTTAACCTTCAGGCCAGCTCACAGCCCCTACTGTCAGAGAATTCTGCATAAGGTGCACAAAAGAACTTAGAGAATACCTGATTGTTTCACATCATTGTTTATCTATCATAGCATGGGGGATTACCTACAGTAGTGTGAAATATCAGGTGCTCTTAACTTGTTTTGAGTAGTATGCATGTTTTAGGGTAATTAAAGTACAGTACTGTTTTACTTGTTCAGCAAAACCTCAAAACTTCAGGGGCGGTGGGGTAGCGTAGTGGTTGAAGCCTTCGCTTGTCACGCCGAAGACCTGAGGTCTATTCCCCACATGGAAGAATGTGTGAAGCCCATTTCTGATGTCTCCTGCCGTGATATTGCTGTAACATTGCTAAAAGCGGCTTAAAACTAAACTCGCTTACTCGCTCAAAACTTCACATATTCCTGGAGTGATCAACTTCCTGATCCTTGTGGAAGATTGAGACAGGGCTGACATGGTAAACTTTCATCCGCAGGAAAAGAAAACCGCAAGAGCCAGATGAGATGTCACCCAGGGATGAAGCCCTTCCTGTGTCCGGTCTGTCACCGTGCCTTCTCCCGCCGCCGATATCTCCGGGATCATATCAAGTCCCATGTGGAACATGTAAGTCTCAAATCAGTCCTGTCATCCATTAGGTTTTGTTTGTAGTTAATGGCACACTCAGCAATATTCCAGCTATATGGCAGAGACCTATTATAATCTAGTCTGGGCCAGACAATCCAGTGATTCATGCTATTAGACTATGATGACAACAGTCTTTGTTCTATCCCCTTAGTGCTGAGCATCAGCCAGGGTAGCAACAAGCAACATCTTTTAATCAGCCAGGGTAGCAACAAGCAGCATCTTTTAATCAGCCAGGGTAGCAACAAGCAGCATATTTTAATCATTCAGGGCCCCGTTTCACAAAGCGATCGTAGCGTTAAGGTGATCATAACTCCCATACTTAACATAAACTTGCGACAGTCGTAGCACTACGATCGCTTTGTGAAATGGGCCCCTTGGTAGCAACAAGCGCCATCTTTAAGGCACTTTAGAGTTCAAACACTGACCATTAGCTCTGTGGGCAGACCATACAGGTGGATATTGTTGAGATTGTTTTATGCTTATAAAAGACCCAGTTTTGATTGTTTACATGGGAAGCGTGAAGGCCGGACTTTGCTAAAGTATCCGGAATAAAACACATCATCGCTCACCTTAGTTTGCTTGAATACACAATGCCCTTTAGATAGTAGTCAAATGTTTCTAGTACTTTTGTTCGGCCGAGTCCCATCCGGGATTCGAACCCACACTCTCAGAGTCAGGCACCTGTGAGTGATCTAACCCACACAGCCACCGCAGCCACCAGTACCAACAAACAGTGCGATGAGCAGACACTTGAACCACTAGGCTACCCACTGCTTCCAGATATACATGAACAAGATTCCTGAGTATTGAATATGCCCACCTATATTGATGATGCTGTCTGTTGTGCAGGACTCTGCAGCGCTCATGGAACAGGTGATGTCTGAGATGGACACCCACAGTGACACCACCAGCGAAGAAGCCAGCCAGAATGGCATACAAGAGTTATCTGACCTTGACCAGAAGGATGAACTAGATGGAGCCACCACCACTGCCACCAATGAAATACTGGTCCATTAGAAGCTCACCTTTGACAGGATCTGAGTTGTTCAGATTGTCCATTTTGTGTCAGTTAAAGATTTGATGTAATGTCAATGTTGTTTAAAATAATGGTCTCAGCTCTACCCTGACTCTGTTGATCTGTGTAAATGTGTCTGTTGCTCAAGTGTTGATGCTGTAGGGTCTTGTTGTTTAGGAATGTTAGAATGTCTGCTGGACGGGTCTGGTTACTACAGAAATTGAACCTGGTTACTACAGAAATTGAACCTGGCTCGTACCTGCGTGGTCTAGTCACGGTTCACAGATGCAAAAATGAACCCAGAAGTTCGGGGGCATGAGTGGACCATTGTGTAAGCTGCTGCAATTCCCTGTGTAGAGTTGCATCCCTTCAGCGTGCAACAAACATAGAATCATGGGTACCAATTCCAATTAGCCATAACTATATTTCTGGGTTTCGCAGTGCCATATCCATGCTTATGAGTACAAGCTTAAGACCTACGTTTAAATGTTTAAATTTTGATTATGTCTGATGCTACTTATATCTGGTAAACATTGTAATACCATGAATCATTTTCAGTGATTCTTTAATGCACAATGACTCTGTTAGAAAATACCTTCAAAGGGAATCTGGCATGATTGCTCAGGTATGGCTATTTTGCACAACTCAACCTTTCATTAACTTGTACTCTTTGATTAATTAGGTTGTTATATACTTTTCCTATGAAGAAAGGATATTTAAAAAAGTTAAATGCATTACATGCCGACGAATGGACATCCTTAATGGTAGTTTGTACTGACAGTTATTAGGTTAGGAGCAAAGTAGATTAACTTCTTCAGGTCTCCATAGAGACCCTCAGGCCTTGTTTGAATTGTGGTTAAAGGGGGATAACTCACTGATGCATCAAAATCTCGAGAACGTTCTGATAGAATAGGCAAGGTTTGTCAAATATAATGTTCATATCCTTTTAAGATTGATTGTTTAAAAACTGACATTAGTTGGTATTTAAAAAATTAAAATTACTAATTTCAATCCTTTTGGCATTGCCATCTCTGTACACGAAAACATGTTCATTTAGAAAAATATGTGTTTTGCACAAATCTGACAGAAGCAGCCTGTTTGTAAAATATGGTTTGCTTACTGGTGTCAGAGTATTTAAGTCTTGTCAATAAGAACAGAAAAAGGACAACATAATTATTATTTTTTTATTGTGCAGGTAGTGCCTCAGAACCGTGGAATATTTGTTTTAATTGTTATTTTTTTAGCTGGAGAAGATTATGTAAGTGCTATGAGATGTTGGCGATTGTGATATCTGTATTTTAACTTAAGGCAGTTTTGAGTAGAAAATATTAGTATATTTTGAAGATTGTAATTTGCTTTTTGTACAAATGTTTGTATATGACTCTTAATCATTCCTATGGAGATGTGTGGTTTATTGTATGTGATGATTTGTTAGTTTTGTATATAAGACAAGTAGTTATGTACAAACTTGATACCTGTCAAAACAGGTTGTCCATGTCTAGCAAAAGGTTTTAAAATGCAAACGTTTTCTGATTGTGACACTGGAGATTTTGTTATTTTCGCAAAAAAAGTTTTGAAACTAAATAATGCATTCATTGGCTTGTTAGGGTCCATATAACTATGTTTGGTGAAACGTTTGGTTTGAAAGTCTACGACTGCAGTATTCTGAATACATCTGTATTTTTGTAATGTTGTGTATAGCACAATAGACTAACAGAAGAATATAATTATCAGAAGCAAGAAATGTATTTTAACTCTAGTGAGAATCTGTTGTTGCTTGTTGAATTTTTCATATGCAATGTATTATCTGGTCCTGTGAAGGGAATTTCACAGAACGAACAGAGGATGAAATTTTGTTGTTTGTAGCAGTTTTGAAAATGAATTTTGTCTCTATGTAGGAAATGTTTGAGGGAGGAATTAGATACATTTATGCAATTATATTTGTAAATGACCTACCACCACTAGTTTCCATATGATTTTGATAATGAATATAACTGAAGACAATGATTTCCTTTTGTTCTTTGGTAGTGGGGTGGGGGGCTGAGTGGCCATAGTTGTGTTTCGTACAGCAGAGACCAAGTTCAGTTCCCAACACTGGTACAATGTTTGAATCTGATTCTTAGTGTTACATGCTGTCATACTGCTGTCATATTGCGATGTCAGTATTACACTGTCGCACACTTACTGGTGGTACTGGGTGGCCTAGTGGGTACAGAACATGCTCACCACACTCAACAACCTGGTTTGATTCCCAACAAAGGAACAATGTATGGAACCAGTTCTTGGTGATGCAGGCAGGCTGTGCCTTGAGTATCACTGACAGTGATAAAAACCAAAGTCACAAATATCCCTGACTCCCTCTTTGACTGGGAGCTTCAGAGATCCAGTTATCCAGTCTCTGTGAGCAGGTTTGTTTCACATGGTTATATCAGAAACCTTTGGTTGTGGGTTTGAATCCCAGTCTGCCCCAATAAAGTTTCTTGGTTCCTAAGGGGCAGTGGGGTAGCCTAGTGGTAAAATCGTTCACTCAACACGCCGAAGGCCCGGGTTTGATTCTCACATGGGTTCAATGTGTGAAGCCCATTTCTGGTGTCCCCTACCATGATATTGCTGGAATATTGCTAAAAGCGGCGTAAAACTAAACCATACTCACTCACTCGAGGTTCCTAAGCACCATAACCATGGTAACTGGGCTTGTTGCTTGATCATAGTGGTGAATGTGTGAGACCCGCTTTACTTCTGGTTTTCACCCTTGATTAAGCTGACAATCCCTGATATAACGGAAAACTGCTCAGAGCAGCATTAAACTCACTCACTCACTCTCTATTTAGGGAAAGATATTTGATATTTACAAAAAACAAGCGACACCAGAATTCTGACTCCACGTGGGCCCTTCTCTTGGTAGAAAACCTACTCACTGATTTAAGTTTTGTGTCAAAAATAACGTCCCCTGAAATAGTCCCTCTCTGGACACATCAACAGTGATTATTGTGAATGATTTTCATAAGTTGCCTGTATTGTTATGAGGAACAATATGACTTCCTGACATCAAGTCACCACGATGTTGATCCATCATGGAGTGTGTTACTTTGGATGCAGCAAAAATAGAAGGTATATTTTTTAATTCCATGTCAACGATGTTCTGACTGTAGCAGCTTTGTGACCAGTGAAGCTTTGTGTTGATATGATATAAGTGCTGAATTCATAATAAAACTTGTGAAAGACTCACAATCTCGTAACTCATTTCTTCTGATTGTCTTGTCTGAACCTATCCAAGGGAGACCGCCTCCGCGGTCTAGTGGTTAGAGTGTCCGCCCTGAGAGCGGAAGATCGAGGGTTGCATCCCCCAGCCTCGTCATACCAAAAGACGTTAAAATATGGTACTTGCCGTCCCTGCCTGGCGCTTGGCATTAATGGGTAAAACAAGAACTGGTCGGCTCAGTGCAATGAGTCTGAGTGGGGTATTCATGCTTACCTGCGGCATGGTATTTCAGTGAGCTAGCACTATAAAACCAGCTTAAGTCTAGGCTAGTACAAGCAGTCTGAAATATTCTCAAGTACGAGGTTAAACCCCATTTACCATCACCCCACCAATCAAAGGGAACCTATTGTATATTGATATGAAATGGTATTTAAGGGTGTGTTCAAGATTATGGCATTTTTAAAGCAATGTGTGTGCGTGCGTGCGTGCGTGCATGCACATGCATGTGCTTGGATGTGTGCGTGTGTGTGTATACATGTGTATAAGCATGAGTAAGAATGTGATTGTTAGGGAATTTTCCTTCGACTTAACCCTCTGTGGTACTATGCCACAGTTTAACATGGACGATGCAGTATGCTGCCTCCAAGGTGACAGTTGTGGTTTTATCCACTCAGTACCGAGTGCCAGGCATGGTAACATCAAGTACCATTTTTTAACTTCTTTATGGTATGATGAGGCCAGGGATTAAACCACAAACCACTATCTGACAGACATTCTTACCATTACACCACTGAGGCGGAGGACCGAAATTCTGTTTGGTAAATGAAAATACAATTTAAAAAACAAATTTCAAATACTTCCTCAAGGTTAGGTAGGTAGAAAAAACATGGCATTGTATGAACAGGAGAAACAGAGATTCCGCATAGTTTTTGTATTATTATTTAACTCACAGACAGTAACAAGCCCTATATTTCAATGTTTTTAGGATTAATTTTCCACAGGTTTTAATTTCAGTATTTTAAAGAAATGTGACCTGTTCTGTGGACCAAATGCCCCAGCCTATTGAAAATTAGTAAGGCATAAAGATCTCATCAAAGGGTGTTTCGGGCCATACATGTTCAGGGGCGGTGGGGTAGCCTAGTGGTTAAAGCCTCCGCTCGTCACGCGGAAGACCCGGGCTCGATTTCCCACATGGGTACAATGTGTGAAGCCCATTTCTGGTGTCCCCCGCCGTGATGTTGCTGGAATATTGCTAAAAGCAGCGTAAAACCAAACTCAGTCAGTCAGTCAGTCAGTAAGGGTAGAAAACGCTATTTTGAGAATTTTCAGTTTTGGCTTTGGTTCAAAAGATAGTTCTCTTGCCTCACAGAAAAATCAATGTAATGAGTGTAGCGGTATATGTTTCTAAAATATTCATTTCTTCACCGACTTCGTTCAAATTTGAAATATATGTTAACCATAACATATAGAAACAAAGTACGATTGCAAAAGTCTTGATTTTTATATTTTTAAATTATTGTCCAAACAGGGATTCGAACTCCTGTATCTTGCGTTATATGATTGTTCATCTTTTGCTTTTACACACATTTCGATGAAAACTTGATGGTTACGATCATGTCTTTCGATCTACATGGACAAACGCAATGTCATAATTCTCTGCTACAGATCTGATTACAGATCTCATCAGGGGTAATTTAGCTGAAAGCAAAACAAATGATACCTTTTGTGAAAACAGCAACCTTAGATGCATCTATTGGTCGGTGTATACATCGTCTGCCAAGAAAAATGAAAGAGCACACTGGATTTTCCTTTTGCAAGAATGATGGCAATCTGGTACAGTTCTGAACATGTAAACTTACATCCAGACACGTCAACAGCTCTCCGAACACACTTCATGGCAATTTCCCGCAAAACATCACACGTCATTCGTCATGCATGTCCATGTGAGGTGAGGTGAAATTGGGTTTTAACGTCGTGCTTAAGAATATTTCGCTCATATGACGACGTGCATGCGTGTGTATGTGTATGTGCGGCTGCTTGTACTAGCCCAGACTGAAGCTGGTTTTATAGTGCTAGCCCACTGAGATACGATGCCGCAGTGAAGCATGAATACCCAACTGAGACACATACTGACTCCGAGCCGACCAGTCCTTGATGTACCCATTAATGCCGAGCGCCAGGCAGGGGCCAACAAGTACCATATTTTAACGTTTTTTGGTATGACGCAGCCAGGGATCGAACCCACGACCTTCCGCTCTCCGGGCGGACGCTCTAACCACTACACCACGGAGGTGGTCCCGCACGTACATGTAGTGTCTAATAGTAATTCCTATGCAATTATCCAGAAACACAAGTTGCAAACTTTGCAGAAGGAATGGCAATCTGCTGATACCACATATACATTAATGCTTACCCCATGGAGATTTCTAGCTTTCATTTTACATGGTTCAAGCATATTGTTAATTTCATCTAAGAAATTGTACCTTATAGTATGTTCTGAATGCAACTGAATGGCTAAATATTCGTTGGTGCGTCAAGGCTCAGGTTCAGTAACTTGTAAGGCTGGCTATTGATATATAGATAATACAGATACAGTACAACCAGAAATTATTGAGAATTTAAAGATTGTAATATTTTTTTTTTTTTCACTCATTACTCACGTATTAAATGTGAATATTAGCAGAACATAACTCTAGATTCAAAGACAGATGAACAGTTAGTATTTTGTCAAGTCACCATGGGCAGCAATGCAGGCTTCAATGCGGCGGGGCATACTACTGATCAAAGAAGTTAGAAAGTCGTGGTCCATGCTGTCCCAATATCGGACCAACTCTTATTTCATTTCAGCAATATTTGTCAGATTTTTCTTATTGACACTTTCCTTTATAGGTCCCCGCTCACTGTTCATATTCCCTTCAAATACACAGAGGGGCGTTGCCCCTAACACAGATATGCCACCCCACACATTAAATTTCGGACTGTACTTTGGGCGCTGATACAAATGTTTTTCAGTTTGTTTGGTCCAGAATTTCAGTGTATTAGGAAACAGCCACACAGAACTTTCATCTGAGAAAATCACATTGTCCCAGTTAAACTTTCTATGCTGTAAGCACCAGTTCAACCTTCGCTCCTTTTGTTCAGGTTTCATGATCGGTGATGGAATTCCTCGACTTTTCTGCCAACCCATGGCATGCAGCTCAGTTCTAATTGTCTCCTTACAGACAGCCACAGTTCCTCTATCAATCATATCCAGCCTTAGGTTTTCTAAACTCCTTCGTTTGTTTTTAGAAACAAGAATACCAAGCCGCCTCCTGTCACCGACAGTCAATTTTCTGGGCCTACCTGCGCCTCCCCGGTGCTCAATGCCATATCCATTTGCAATATTTTTCAAAACACGATAAACAGTGTACAAAGGGATGCCTGTTCTACTTGAAATCACTTTAGCTGATCTGATGTCCTTGTTATAATACTCTAAAATCAATTTCCTCTTCTCTAAATCATCCATACTGAGGATCACTGAAAATGTCGTCTGCTAGCAAGTAAACAAAGGGTGATAACTCTTCACAAACTAATGAAAAAGGATTAACGGAGTTGTCTCTATTGAATGAAATCAAGCACTTGATAGATAGGTTGTTTACACTAGAAATCCAGTTAAACATATTCCTAAAATTCTCAATCATTTCTGGTCATAGGTCTACTATAAAACAAATGTCAAAATTGTCTGAAAGAAATGAAAATATTTCCCATCTCTGTTGAGTCGTGACATGTTTGTACATGGATATTAACAAAACATCGTCCTGAACATTATTTAGAAGCAGACGATGAATAAAGTCCTATGTTTGTATATTGTGTGAGAAAATTTAAACTTTTTTCTATCACAAAAGTTAATGTACGATATTATAAATGACAATATCGATAATTATTAATACTTTTTCTTATCAACGATATTTCCGATTATCGATCATTTTAGCCATCCCAAATATATAATTTGCTGGGTGATTCTCGACATGTGACCCCTTCTCTTGAAATATAACTGCCGCAAAACCGAAAATGAAGCTAATAGTATTAATTTTATAGCAATGTTTGACATGTGAATGAGTAGACTATTCGCAATTACATATTAGTATTTATAAATATATGTGTCTTTATCATTCTCTGAATAACGACGGGAATCGTTTCATGCGACATCTGGCTCCTTCTATTGAGCATAACAAACTAAATCCGACTTGTGGTTTGTTTTAACTTTTTGTGGAGAGGGACAATATAACCGACTTGTGGAACCAATTTTACTTTTATATATACCGGTAATGTGTATGATTTGTCATATCTATGCTTCAATACAAAACAGTTTCACTTAAAACTGACTATTAATGCGTGGATGTGGTAAACACACATGCGCCTATATGAAAACTTTAACTAAAATGCCAGCAAATAAAAACTTACGGTCAGACATGTCAGCGTCTTCCTCGTGACAAAACCGACCGCCTCCGTGGTGTAGTGGTTAGAGCGTCCGCCCGGAGAGCGGAAGGTCGCGGTCCACCTCGTGACAAAACCGTTTCACAGTCTCCGTATTCATACGCTAATAACACAATCCTCATTAAAGTATATAATGTAAAGTTGTAAAGTTTGAATGTAAATTCATATTGAAAATGTGAGAAACGTTTTTTTCTCAAATCATACACATTAATCAGAAATAAATCCAAAGAGGGTTTCACATTTCACCAACGACCTATAGACACCTTTTCCTCGCTTATGTTTCCCCCAAGTAACGGGTAAAGGTTGATGTTTGTTCCATTCCCTCACATCGGAGCAGTGATGACTTTGCATAACTATACTGACAGCATGGAACTAGGAGATTGGAGAGATTTTAGCTGTGTCCATATCTACATCACTGTGGCGAATGTACAAGTTAATGTCAGATACCTTCCCAATGTTCGTGACGGCAGATTTGCACACTATGCAGGACATAGGTTTCAAGTCAACCGACAAGACTGACTGACTGAGTTTGGTTTTACGCCGCTTTTAGCAATATTCCAGCAAC